CCCCAAAACCCCAAAACCCCAAAACCCCAAAACCCCATATAAGCCCTCAAATATCGTAAAACCCAAAATCATAATTTTCCTAAAAATATGAACCCAAGTTCAAGCCAACCTGAAATTAGTCCAGAAGGAATTGACCTCAAGGAAGAACCGAAGTCATATTCAGCTGAGCCTGAAGAAGAAGTGAAGCAGGTAGGATGCTGAGTGAATTTGGAGTGACTGGAATTTAGGTGAGGAGTAAGAGTACAGAGGGGAATGAGTCAAGAGAGCAGAAGAGCTGTGATGAGCACCCTCCTGGAGAGGAAGATGTACCCCAGAGAGAAGTACAAGAGAGGGTTTCTAATCCAATGTAAGCTCTTTTGAGTTTTTTGTGGGCTTGGCAAATTTGGGTTTTGAAGTTTTAAACAAAAAAAGACATCATTTTTGAGGTTTTGAGATTTTTGGATTTTAATACATTTGTATTTTATCAATCCAAAGTAATGCTTCTTTGTTTAGGAGGGAAGCAAATGCTAATAGAAACGAGGTTAATCCTCGTTTACATGATGTTCAAGATTACATAAAAGACCAAGATCCAGAAGAAGTGAAAAGAAGGCTCGAGAGATGCCCTCCAGACTTTACAAGAGCGAGGACACATGGATTTGCAAGCAAGGTAAACAGGCTGGATTCAATAAACAACATACAAGATGCTAACAATGGAAAAATTGAATGATGTGAATGCTGTGGAAGACCTGCTGAGGATTATGTTAAAGATCTACCCCTATGCATTGACACTGCTGAGCTTGACATTTTAGGGAGTGGATTTCCTCTATACTACCATTTCAAGAAATTTACCATTATCATCTACTTCGCTATGATATTTGTGGTAGGAATTCCGTGATTGGTTATAAACTTTCATCAAGGAAGAAGCAGTGAATGGGATCTAAATAAATCATACATAATTTCTACCACAATTGGTAATCATGGAAAAATTCCAGACAACTACACAAAATGGAGAGTTCAAGTCCAAGTGATCCTGAATTTCTTGTTTATTTTTGTAATTGCAATTGCAAGTATCTTTTTAAGGAAAACTCAGAATACCATAATCAGAGAAGTTGATGAACAAAACATTACCCCTTCTGATTTTGGAGTGATGATTAGCAACATCCCCAAAGATAAGCATCCTTCAGATCTCAAGAAATGGCTTGCTGAAAAAGTTCCAGGGATTGAAATTGTTTACGTAAATTACTGATATAACATAACTGAGATGGTCAAAGCCACAAGAAAGCAAAACTCTCTTTGTCAGATAAGGGCATACCTTTTGGCTTACAAGAAGAGAAAGCTCGAAGAAGAGAAAATTACAGAAGAGCAAGCTAAAGAAAGAGAGATTTCCCTCGCTCCTCCCCCCAAAAAGATTCTGGGATGTATAAAAATATCATATCCTCAAATAGACCGACTGGAGAAGAAAATCAAAGATGTAGAAAGAGTGCAGGAGCGCATAATGGAGACTACAAAAAGAATATTAGATACAGATGAATTCTGTGGGAAAGCTTTTGTAGTGCTCAACAAGCAAAGCCATGCCGAAAGAATTACTAAATACTTTGAATGTTCTCTTCTCAATAGAGCATTTAACAGAGTCCTGTTCAATGTGTTCAAGTATCAAAGCCCCAATATCTCTCGCAGATATTGGGATGGAAACTTGATTTACACAGAAAGAGCAGCTGAGCCCGGTGATATTTACTGGGAAAATCTTGCTGTGTCTACCAGAACAAGATTGAGAAAGGTATTATGGACTTCATCAGTTGCAATATTTTGTTTGGGAGCTGCTTTTGGAATTAACTTTGGAATTAGAGGAATTCAAAAATCAATCAAAAATGAAAGTACATCATCTTTGGCTGAAGAATATTTTATCAGAAGTTTGTCTATTCTTGCATCCTTTATGATTGCAGCAAATAATATGCTTCTTGGACGACTTATCAGGGTACTTACTTCTTATGAAAATCATGAAACTTATACAAAGTACCATCTCTCTGTGGCCTTTAAGCTTACTTTTGCGATGTTTATAAATACTGGAATAAACCCTCTATTTGCCAATTTTGGCAGGAAAAATTGGTTCAATCAAGGTGGATTAATGGTAGATATTTTCTATATTACAATCACAGTTTCGCTTATCAGTCCATTCTCGTACCTCTTTGACCCTGGCTTTTTAATAAAACTATACAAGAGGTGGAGAGAAAAGAGTAAAGGAAATAAGTCCAAGCTTACTCAAAAGCAAGCTAATGAATTATTTGAAGGACCCCCTTTGGATATGGCTCAGAGGTATTCTAACACAATGCTACTGTTCTGTATGGCTGTTTTCTATGCATTTCCGATGCCAATAATCTCTGTCATTTCGCTACTAGGAGCAGTCTTCCAATATTGGCTGGAAAAATACCTCTTGTTGAAGAGACATAAAGTTCCTGAACCTTTTGGAGAAGCAATGGCTCAGATATTTAGCAGCATGATCCCATTCTTTTGCTTACTATACGGGACTTCACTGTATATTTTCAGTACAACTTTATCAGAAGGAAAAGGATGGATTGGCTTGGCAGCTTTCATCATCACTCTTCTGTACATGATCCTTCCATTTGGAAAGCTACTAGACCATCTAAAAAGAGAAACTCATAGAAATGACAACTATGAATACAAGGAAGAGAGAATTGACTTCTTGACTGATTATGATCGCTCAAATCCAATCACAGAGGAGGCAGCTAATGTTTATCACCAAAGAAAATTGGCAGCTGCAAACTTTCTCACTGAAATCCAAAATCAGCCTAGTGAGGGTCATAATGAATGGGGTGGAGTTCTAAAATATGGAAGACAGGCTACCAGTTTGGAAGGCAAAGTCTTCAGAAAATTCCAACACGTTGAGATGCTAGTTGGATCTAATAAGGCAAACTTTCTCAGAAGAACAAGCACCCAAAACCAACACCAATTAGGACATCTCTCTAGAATTGAGGAAGAAAAAGGGGCAAATGAAGAGCTAAAAGAAGAACTAAAAGCTGAACCCCCTGCACCTACAATAAGAAGACTCAGGACAGAGAATCTCATTACCCACAACTACCAAAATTCCATCAATCTGGCTTCCAACAACCATGAAATCTCCCAAAGCCAAGATTTCAGTCAGAGCTCTGAGGACCCATAATTACTTTGGTTTTAACAAGAAGTTGCCCATTTTTGTCCACTCCAGTTAAATCATTTAATTTTTGTTCTACTACAGAATAGTGGTTCGGGGTTTTGGGGTTTTGGGGTTTTGGGGTTTTGGGGTTTTGGGG